CGTAATCTGTGATGTGAATATTTTCCCCAAAGTATGCTTTATCCTCAGATAGCAATGGAGCAAGAAATATTTATTTCATCTTTCAGTAGAAAGCTTTATACCAAATATCTGCTCCATCAAAATTCCTGCAGTTGGGAAGGTATGCCTGAGAAGGTGTGGTAGGAAGTGGAAGCTGGGTTCTGTTCTCAGCTCTGGCACAACATGATGTGTGGGGTTGAATCAGTCTACTGATTTCTGTCCCTCCACTCCCACRCTCGTGTAGACTTCCCATGCTTTAAAAATTGGTTTCAGTCTTAGCAGTGCCTTTACAAAGCACTATTACCTGAACTGGCTCTCACTGCTCTCCCAGTYCCTTGTGTGTCTGAGCTCTGAGGTGCTTCCTATACCCAATTTTACAGCTGCTTGGCCATGTAATGATTCATTTTTCTACAGACAGTGGCAGAAGATATTGGAGATGTTTCTAAGGTCCCATGAGAAGGCTGTGGCAGCAGAGGGGCTCTTGTGTATAATTCAATCACAAACCACTGCTCCATCCTTCTAGATATTCCTGATAGTTTTTGAGTGCACTAACATATTTGACCAAGTATCTGTAATGGTTAGGACCATAATTTTTTGCTTTTCCTGGCAAGCAGGGTGAAAGCTTTAATTCAGCTTGTGAATCCCATTATCATCATCATGGCTCAAAATCAAACTACTCAAAAATGCTTTACTTGGGRCTAATTCAAAATTATGATTCTAATCCAAGTAAGTAACTTTTAGTGTACTTGCACTAAAGGTTGTTAATAGAGAGTTGAATCTGTGCAGTGGAATGAATTTAAGGTTTATTTGAACATGACTAAATGGAAAGAAATGAAATAAATTATTTATGTGTATATATATAGCACATTGCTGAAATTAACAGGCACCCATTTCTCTAATACCATAACATGAAACAGATGTCATAAATGCTGATCTGTTTTGTCTCTTAGTTACTAAAATATCTGGTTTATTCCATATTCTTTCTTAGTTTTGAATTAATGGTGACTTTTTAAGGGTTGAAGGTGTGAGATGGGGGAGGGGAGATTATAATTCTTAATTTTCCCAAATTGACGAAAATCAAAGAAACTGGAAAGAAATTCTCTCATAGGGTTGTTAATAAGTTTCATTCTGTGGGTTTACCTATATGAAAAATTTCCTGAAGACAATATAGAATAATTTTGTTTTCTGAAAAAATTTCAGACTCAAATCCAGARCCARTTTATAAGACCTCCAAAGTATGRYGTGATAATAAAATGAAAGAAGTGGTCAAAAAGTTGGAAACATTTTTTTTTTCTCTTGAGTAAAAAGTAAAAAGAAARYTGTTTTCAAGAGAGTAATGGTCATRYTACTRATAYTGAAGAAAATGTCCTTTGCCAGCCACGCCATTATCTCAGTAGGGTTTTGCACCAGAAAAATGTCATTAGCTACACCACCAGGCACCCCAGGAACTAGACATGCCATGTTTTGGAGGACAAGAATTTACTGCTTGTGGTCTCCTCATTGCACAGAGGGAATGGCAGTGTCTGCCCTCGATGATATTCTCAACACTGGAAATGACAGAGGTCATGATGATGTAATTCTTCTCAGAGTAASTGGTGGTATTTTGGCAATGAATTTTCACCAGAAAAGACAAAAAAAGCACGTGCAGAACCTGAAAAAAAAATTGAGGTGAACAAAATTAGACAAAAATTTTGAGAGTGTGGGATTAAAAACATCTGAGGAAAACACCTGAGGTGTATGGAAAATGTGTTACCTAGGGGGCAGTGAACTTAGTTCAACCCTTTACTGTTACCAGGGCTGTGCTGCTCCATTCTAGATGGAACTGCTGATTATTTACTCAGTGAATTTGGTATTGAATTTGATATCGGTCTCAGCTGCAAGGTAGCCCATTGTTTATTCTTTATTAACATCCCAAGGGAGGAACTTCCTCAGTTTGTGACTCTGCAATGTTGTGAGTATGTCTGAATGATCAAAAGAGACTGAGTTGTCTCACTTTAGTGAGTTACCCCTTTCCAGAGAACCACAGTGGCTGCAAACCTTGCTCATTTTAGATGCAGGCTCAGGAATGTTTACGTATTTCATCGGTCATTTAAAACTGTCTTTATTTTCTCTGCAAAAAATGCATTACAATCATTGTACCTTAATTTGAATAAGTCTTATGGGACTGTGAGCTACAGAGAGAAAATCATCATTATTTTGTTAATGAAGGTATGAAAATGTAACATCTCATTTTCTATTAAAATTAAACATAGAAATTCAGAAAATTTCATCAATTGTTGTGGCTATGATTTTTAACCACTTATTTAACTTACTAGTAATCCATCTTCAATTCCATGTTCAGTGCCTCATTTAAAAATTTCATTCTTATGGAAGTYCAATTTACAATTAAATCCAATTAAAAATTAAGTTGTTCTAGTCATTCAGAGCAATAAACACATGAAAGGAGGAAGTACAGAGAAATAGAAGTGATAGGGACACTAAAAAATATCCTTCTCATAGTTGAAGATAAATGCTTAATCTTAGTTTTACAAAAACAAAATAATTTTTCAAACTGATGCATTTCAAAACACATCAGGCTCCAGAATATAATGTAGTTAAGTATTACTGAAATGTAGCTTGACTGAAATTGAGATAATTACAGAATCTTTCAACAATTTTTCACTTGTTTGGGGAACTGGACTCAGCTGAATGACTGAAAAAAGAACAAACTCAAAATAAGCTTTTTTAAGGAATGTGTTTGCTAAAAAATTAGCAAAATAAGCAGGAAACTTGAGAAAGTTTGAAAGCAGAAGAGTCACACAGAAAACACCAGCATACTGTGCTGAATTTTTGGATTAATTTTTCCCCATCAAAGAAATGAATGAGATTAAGATGTTGTTTAGAATATTTTCAACACTGTGTTGAATTCCTACCTAAAGCATCATCTTAGACAGCCCAGTCCTGCACTTGGGAGGGATGACCATTGGGAACAGGATTTAAGTGGATGTAAGTTTATGTGGATGTAAGTTTATGTGGATGTAAGTTTAGGTGGAAGGAGGTTTTGATAAACTGATTGTCTCACTCATCAGACCAGTTCTGCCCAGCAGCAGCTACCAGAGAGTGCCCCACTGGTAAAAAGTGTCAGCAGAGACCCCAGCTGCAGGYTGCTGACAGACGCTTCTCAAACATCTGGGGTAACCCTAATTCTTACAGGATTCAGCACAATTTTTTTTTCTGACTTTCAGTTTTTCAAGCAGCTTGTAAATCCTTTGCAAGGTTATGCATTTTATTTCAGTATCCAAAATAGTAAAGCTGCTATATTCACCATCTTTTTTTCCTGAAGACCGAGTCTGCTGCTCTCAGCTCTGCCAGCTCTGGGTTTGATTTGTCTCCAGAAATTACCAGGAAGGTGGTTGCTATAGCTGCACTAATGAAAGGARCAACCATGTTTCCTTGAAGGCAGGGTAAGCAAGCATAAATAAACAAATGCTKTGTGGTGTTAATAGTRTAAATGAGATATTATTGCAACACAKAAAGYAAGATAWTAACYCTTTTCAGTGGCTTGATATCTATCCACCTTTCAACTTTCMATGCAAAGCTTAGATTGAGATGATATAATTTTTTGGCAAATATTTAAAGTATTAAGAGTTTTATAGGATTTTCTTCATCTCAATGTGAGTCACATTTTTGTTGTATTTTTTCTTGTTATCACATTTTTGTGTGGACCTGGAACAGGTTGCCTGGAGAAGCCATGGCTGCCTCTTCTCTGAAAATGTTCAACACCAGGTTGGATGGGTTTTGGGAAACACATATAGGGGAAGGTGTCCTTGCCCCTGGCAGGGGGGTTGGAACAAGATAATCCTTAAGGTCCCTTCCAACCCAAGCTATTCTATGGTTCTATGATTTTTCCAGTGACAGTCTGTCTCCACAATTCTGCCAATTACTGTTACATCATGAGAGGCACAWAGATAAAGGTTCATGGCCAAAGCCAGGAACACAAGAAAGTTTTAATTTAAAAAAAWCCTGTTAAGTTGCACTGAACTTTGTCATCTCTGGTTCACTGGATTTAGCTTTAAGTGTGATTTTTTTCTGACAAGTGACTGCAAAAACTGTATCACACATTGTCTTGTTTGTATTGCAGAGACTTTGCATCAATTTTGTTCAAGATGTTGCTGGATCTTTTTTTTTAAACCACCAGATCTACCAATGAAACAGAGATTTGAAGGTCATGSTGTGTTTGATCTCATGCAACACCAATAATAATGGCATTTCTGAGAAATGAAATCTCACTCACCCTCATGGCAAAGCACTTCAGTGTCTAGGGCTGGCTGTGCTGCCAGATTTTCATGAAGTGCAAAGTAAATCCATTTTGCTGCCAAGCTAAAATGAAATATCTCAAAATAAACTTTTGCTACATTTATGGAATAGTCTTACAATATTAGCATCATGAATTGCATTAAGGTGGGAAACTTTGGAGAGGCTGCTCATACTAGCTCATCGTGGGACAAGCTTCTATCACTTCAAAAGAACATGTACATTATCCTGAACAGTGATTACTGTAAAAACATTAACCTTATGTTATTGTGCATCAGTAGGTAGATGGTGTCACCTGGATTATTTAGGATCCTTTTAACAGATCTAATTATTTCTGGAAAATAATTTCTTGATAATTTCTTTTCTGGAAAATAATTTCTTGATAATTTCTGCATAATGCTAACTTTGTCTCGTTACTTGGTTAGGAGAGAGAATTGKKTYTTTTTGGAGATACTGGGCACTGGARGCATTGGTCCAAGATGAACTGMTGAACAAAATGAATACAGATATTTCAAAGCTTTCTCTTTGCTAACGATTAAATAAATTTGGGKTTTTAAGAGAAAAATTGAACACCACATGGTAAAAAGATATTAGCTGGATACACTGTAATTTCTTTTCTTATCTGGTTTCTGGTTCTGACTTAGAATGCTACAAATTATTTTCCTTCTCTTCTCTCCTTTATTTTGCAGTTAACTTTGACCACTTTCAAATATTGCGGGCTATTGGGAAAGGGAGTTTTGGAAAGGTAAGAATCAACTTATTTTTAGCAGTTAAAAACCTGATAGGGAAAACCTTTCTGGTTCTTTGGTGTGATTTAATTATGGTAAAAGAACACAGGTTTTGTAGCCTTTTCCTGCTTAAAGACATCTGACCATGAGTATAAACTGAGTCTGACTATTCCTTAAATTATTTCTGTTATAATACATTCAATAAAGTTAATAGAGCAAAAATTATTATGATAATTAATTGTCCCCAATGGAGATTAGYAGAATTTAGAAATCTGTCCTGAAAACAATAAAGAACACAAAGGTARGAGCAGACTACTTTACTTTAGACAGCCCACCAGAGTGATCTCATTCTTAAATCTCTGGACTTATTTATGTCTTTAAAATAATTGCAGTATTTACTATTTACTATTTACATAGATTAAATCCACTTGGGACTGTATAAACTGGCATACACCATAATTATGATCATTGAGTAAATGCTTGTTCAATTCAACAGGATTTTTTTCTGAAAGAGAGAAGATTAATGGTTTATTTACACTTGAGTAGACAACCTTTTTTTCCTGTAATAGTGATTATAACAAGGTTTTAAATTTTAATATGGGTAAATACAAAGCCATGCAGTCAGAGAAAATCATATTTTAAAGGTATCAGAAACCATTTCTCACAGGAATACATTTGAAGGTGAAATATAACTGATACTTGAYCAGGTGACTGAACAAACAGCAGCAAACCAAACATTTGGTTGTATAAAAGTGACTTCCTGTATGAAGTAATTGAAATTACAGTCTAGATCTTGATTTCAGTGATTCCTGAGTACATGCCAGGTCATTGCTGGTGAAACACTTCTGTGGTCATGCATTAAGAACACACAAAGGATTTTGCTGTTTCTTGGCCTCCATGCAGAACAGTGACTTCAACTTTAGAGAGGACAGAAACACTTCTTGCAGAACAGCATGGTTCTTCATGGCACGGTCCTTGTTCAATTCAGTAGTTTTCAAAAGAAACTCTCTTTGAGGAGAATATGATGCTTGGGCAAAATGGTACTGAAGAACCTCTTAAAAATCAGGGCAGCAGAGATCTGTGGTTGTTTATTAACACTATGATGGAATACTGTGTCAAACCAAACTGAGGTCCAAGAGCGCAAGTTACGTACAGGAAAAGAAGTTAAAGGTCCATCCAAATCATGCTGGCCCTYGCAAAGGAATAGCTACTTAGATCAGAATTCAGCATTTTTGGTGTGAGTATTTAAAATTGTCTCCTTCTGAATTTACTTAGAAGGCAAATTTTTAATGTACAAATAAAACCTATTTCATCAGAATTTCTAAGCTTCCCTTTCCAATGTACTTAGAATCACTTGTTAAACATAACCAGCTTAAAGGTCTTCCACAAAAAAAAACAAAAAAAACCCAAAACCAAACAAAAAAAAAATCTTGTTATTTACAAAGACACCAAAGCATCAAGCCAAGACCTTCTTTCAGCTCGTTAGCAAAGCAATGTCACTGGGGCCAGAAAGGCAACTTTTAGAGTAGTGGTTGGCTACCATTGATCCCTGCACTGTGCCAGTATCTTTCTGCACAATCATACACCAGGCAGGACTGCTCATGCCCAGGAGTGCAGGAAACTGCTCAGTGAGTGATCACAGACATTCTACTATGGCTTGCTGTCACTTGGCTTGAACAAAAGAATCACCAGCTTACACAGCAGCTGTGGCTGTGATGGTCCTACACAGGCTCAGAGCTCACCTCCTTTATCTCCTTGCCAGGGGACCTGGAGATCTCCTTG